CTTGCATGCAGCCGCTGTCGCGATAGATTCTGGACGTATGAAGGCCTGGAACGGCATCTTGTGATGGCGCATGGCTTAGTCACCTCAGATCTCTTAACAAAAGCGCAGAAGAAGGAAGACGGCGGGCGTTGTAAGCACTGTGGAAAGGTATGTCTTGCTGTTCGCACTTCATAAATAAGCAGCAGTTGTTGCAGTAGCTTTTGCAAGATTTCTTTCAGCAATACGCCTTCAACATGCTGCAGCATTTGGTAACAGATCACCAAGTGAAGCTCTGCTCCGCTGAAATAATGTACAGTTGCGATGTTTGTGCCTTCAAGTGCAGCAGCTACAATAAGTTGGAAACACATTTGAATACCGTGCATCCAAAGAATCCGGTCCAGAATCCCGTTTTGAATAATGTCGCCTGCAGTCCCTCTTCCGGTAAATTTTGATAAGTCACTAAAGATGTAGATCACACTCATTGGAATATTTGATAATTCCGCTTAGCTGTCAAAAACATTTGCGTTGTGTAGTTTCCTGGGGGGCCAAAGCAGAGCAGGAATGCGATTTGAAAGACGATACTACGGTATGGCACAGGGCAAGAAGTTTTTCAAATTTACAGGCATTTGGTTCCTCAGAAGATGATAAATTGGTGGAAAAGCTCCAGCACGTAAATTGGGCGAAATCAAAGTAAATTTCATGGATGTGCAAATTGATTAACAATTCACTGATTACCAAGATCGGCCGGACAAATGATGCGGAGAACCGATGTTAGTGATGTAACAGGGATGCACCCACAAACGCAGCTGTGCTAGACCCTCTTGCCCTGAGATTTAATGATTATGGGCATTGTTGCAGGAATTCATCTTTGAAATTCACTGCTGGCATTTTGCCAATAGCATGCTCTCTGACCGGTAGCTCGTTCTAGCGTTCATTTAGGCGCGTGCTGGTCGGGGAAGTCATTTTTCAGCATCTCGGATTTGTGCATGTTCATTTCTGGTTTGGTAAATTATGCCTGACACTGACCCCGTGGATTGTAGAAAAAGTAGGAAATGATTTTGAGGTCAGAATCTCACAGCTGCAGTAATGCTTGCAAAGTTTTTTTTTTTGAGGTGAGTTATCTGGGCTGAGAATCGGTCACTAAGTACAGCTAGTGGTACTTTTGCGTTATTTGCAACGTCATCTCTCTAAGAACTCTAAGTAAGATATTTCACCCATCACCGTCCTTGGATGCATTATTTTAGATAGTGTTAGCTGGTTGGGAGAAATGGCTCACTGTTTGGGTGATGAGCGGGAGTGGAGGAGAAATTATGCGATTTTTTGCATGCAGATAGTTTTTACACCTGTACTTTTTCAATTTTTTTGGCAAAAACATAAGCTGGATTGTGTTTTTGCACAAATCCAGGAAGCACAATACAGCGAGGCCATGCTTACAATTGTATGTGTGTCTTTCTGTGTACGCATGTCTGTTCGCCTCACTTTCGATCTCTGGGAAATTGAGTTCTAGATACGCGAAAAGTGGGAGACTGAAATGCTGGAAGCACGCCCTCAGTGTTTTTCGATCCGTACATGGCAGAAGCAGGATTACCTATCAGGTTTTCAGCTGTGCTTGCGCAAAAGGCGCATTTGCTGTTTATTGCTCGTTTGAGTATGTTGCTACGGCAACATGCAGCGTTGTGTTCCAGAAGTATCTCCCTGCCATAGCATTTAACGATGACTGGGCGGAAAGTCAGCCGTGCACAGGGTCACAGGAATATTACTTTTTAGCTTGTTTAAAACTACATGTATATCCTATAGCCGTTTACGTTCCCTTGGTTGCGCTGGAGTTGCAGTATGCAGTGTTCATTGAAAAAGTTTTTTTATGCGATGACGTCTGAT